AGCTAGCATGGAAACAGCTTATCGACCGTAACTGTTACAGGCGTTACCGCTATGCCGTTACCTGTAGTTAGTGAGGACACTCTTGTTCACCACGACGATCAGGAACGAGCTGAGACCGTAAAACCCGGCGGCAAACAGCTTCACGACCAGCGTCGGAGGTTTGTCCGCCATCCCCGACAAGTTCTCATTCCTCTCTGAGAGTCGGCTCTTCCCCTGCCCATCACTTCTTCACTGTAGGCTCACCCACCTACACACACACACACGTTTCACAACTTCCGCCCCAAGTCTGAGCATCACATTACGCGCAACAAATTTAACCACGAAATTTAACCATGAAATGAACGAGTTTTTTTTTTTGTTTGTTTGTACAAAGCTAGCACTGCGAATGAAATCACCAGCCAGGCTTAGCTTATTTTTTGCATTCTACTTTCTTTTGACATGGAGCATTAAACTTAAAGCAAGAATTGGACGGATATTTGATCTTTCCTGCAGCTTTATTATCCCCCCAGCTTTCACAAACACATCTGATTTACAGGCAGGTCGGCACTTCCCGGTTTTTAACGTGACATGTGATGCGATTAGTCCAATCACAAATTAGAAGGGTTTTTTTGTTGTTGTTGTTCTTTATTACATGTAATTGGGGGTTAGGCGAGATAAGTTATTTATTCACCACATTTCAAACACCACAGCTAGCCAAGATAAATTCAAAATCCAAGATAAAAGATAATAACGGCAATAACAATAAAAACAACAAAAATTAAAACAAGGGCGATGGCACAGCTACACTGTTAGTTAAAAGCAACCGTGAATCTAAAGCTGTGCTCTTTACAAAGTAGCTAGGGTTGGAGACGATGTGACCGCAATGGGTAGCTGGTTCCAAAATGCCCAAATGCAATAGATATTTATTGAAAATGTTTATGGTGGCAACTACGAAGGCTATAACTAGGCATTGCCTCCTACAGGGCAATGGGTTGTTTGGAAGAATTATAATAAAAATACGTTAAAAACAAAAACAAAAATATACATGTGAACTGCTAGGTAACCAGATCTTGCAGACCTTAGAGATCTACTAAGTTTGTATACATTAAACACTATAGATTTATATTTAGGGCCAAAATCATTCAAAGATGTATAAACAACAGAAAACAGGCATGAATGAGCTTCTCCAGATAAAAATATCTCAGTTTAGCCAAATTACTAAGATCCCAAAAGGCTGATTTAGTTACAGCACAAATATAGTCAGTGAAACTAAAGCCCTCTTTTATTGTTGCACCAAGATTTTTCACACAAGTTTTAGATTTGTGGTTTTACATATACAGATATAAAGTTATAAGTAACCCATGCAATTAATTGCATGAATCGTATTTCACACTATGATCACGTGCAGCAGCAGTATAAAATGTATCTCCAAAAGTTGATTCTGTACATCTGGACGTAGCGTTTTCAGTGGGAGAAACATTTCGTCACTCATCCAAGTGACTTCTTCAGTTTCTGGTGACTACAGGTTTCCCCGGTCTTCTAAACAGTACATTTGCATAATGACTGTTGTTGATCAACAGTCATGAGAATTTGCATATAATCATGATGAAGGAACTGACCTCCCAGCCCATTGTTCCTTCAGTGGGCTGTTTTCAGTCATTAAACACAGCACATGACAGGAACAAGTATGTTCTGGAGACAACAGAGCTCTGAGGGTCCCCTGTGCCGAAATATGCTCACCTCACCTACTTCCAAGGTGCACGTTCAGAGGTTAAAGCTACAGCAACATGTGTAGGAAATGTCATAACTTTATTGTTTGACTAACATATTTTCAGCTTATTGCCTTCATCATGACCCTGATGAAGTAATAAGCTGAAATTTGTCAGACAACAATAACTTGTTGATCCTTGGAGAAAAGGAATAGGAAAGGTTGTCAAGATGGGCCTTTGTTGATGGGGGTTTACTTTTCTTCCTTGGGCTATTCCTGATTAGTTTGCTGGAGCATTGAGGCCACGGCTATTGGGACGATTAAAAAATGTGATGCTTTTATCCCAAACATGAATGGATATTAAAAGTCTTCTGGATAATGAGTTTGGTTTGCTAGAGTTCACACAGATTTACACAAAACTGGTGAAGGTGAATTTGATTCAAAGCAGATAATTTTTGTTTTCTTTCAATCTAGTTTTAAGAAAAAATGCCAGGCTGTAATATCTCATTAATTGTTGGATGGATTGTCTTGAATTGTGTTTTATATTTTTGACTCTTGTTAAAGATTATTAACAGTTTTCTGTCACTTTAATTAACAGGTTGTATTTTAAACCTAATTTTCTTTCCTATATTTTGAGGGTTGTAGATTATAAAGGCTTGAAATAAAGCATTAACGCACACGAGGGAAATGTTAAGATATGTGCAGATAAGATTAAGAGATTTATTGCTGCCTCATATCTGTCCTATGATCAGGAATGTCTTGAACTTCTGTCCTTTGCCATTTATATCTGCTATGTATGTGGTAGAGTTCTTGTAGCATTACTCATCATGTTGCCGTCTTAGGACATACATACTACATTTATTTATATATGTATAGACATATAAAATGTGTGTGTATGTGCACCCCCATGGGCTAAGGTGTAACCACCAGGTGCTCTTTCCATCTGATGTTTTCTTTTCCATAGGGGTCATATGAATGGCTCCTACAGCTGAGGTGGTTAGGCATCTAATCAGGCTGCCTCCTGGGCGAGGTGTTCTAGGCATGTCCAAACGGAAGGACGCCCCAGGGTACACCCTTGCCACAGAGAGATTACATCTCTTGGCTGGCCTGGGAACACCTCAGTATTCACCAAGGTGAGATGGAGGAGGTAGCTGGGGAGATGGAGGTATGGGTTTCTCCAGAGGCTGCTGTCTCCTGGATAAGCGGTTTGGCACTCCAAACCACTGTAAGAGGGGTACATTTGGCAATTGAGGCACTTGAGGTTCTCAAACTGTGGCCCGGCCCACAGTTTGAGAACCTCTGTGTTACTGTATGCCCTGTGCAGACTTTGTTAATCACATTGTTTAAATTTTACAAAATACATTGTATTCACATTCTTGACATTGAAATCTGGGTTTTATGGTAACCTGCTTGCAAAAATGTATTTTCTGTGCAATAGCTCACAGTAGCTATTGCACAGAAAAAGTAGTCCCTCAGGGAAAAAGGTCTACACTGATTCAGTGTTAAAAATTATAACTATCTCCAATACATGCTTCAATTTACTATACAGACTCCAAGCTGTATAATCCTCATATATTAATTTTATCTAAAAATAAAAAAACAAAAACAAGAAACCCCCCCAAGCCTTTCAGTATCAAGAAATTCACAGTATATTTATTTCTTCTAGACAGAGTGGGGAGTCATTTTAACCTGAGCTTTTACAAAATGATGATAATAAATGATCACTGAATGAAGGCCAGCTTCCTGACCTTACCTTGAAAAAGCCCTTGTGTATTTTGGCAGGTGGTTGTGGGATAAAAACCCTGACGTGTCTCTGATAAGAATTGTGTCTGTGCATGTGCCACGTTGTCAAACAGTGAGTACAGTGGTAAATTCAGCCCCTCACTAATTTCATTTTCTTCAAAACACAGAAGGGGACATCTCGCCTGAGCCATGTCTGGACTGAATGCGTCTCTCGGATACTTTGTGGCTGCTGTGACTTTTGTAGTCTCAGTTCAATTTCTCCTTAAAAAACGGCCACGGTTCAGCTTCATCTCAGAGTTTACATCTTCTTTTATGCTGGTGGCATGTTGGCTGGAGGTGCAGACCATCGTGGAGGTGGGCGAGTGGGCCGGGGGTTTGGGCCCTGATGTGACTTTAACCATACTGTTTGTGGTATTGCTCACACACGGTATAATCTGTGGTGATGCATCAGGGAATCCCAGCCTGGCTGTGCAGAAATTCATGAAGCTTGAGGCCACCACCGTAACCACACTGCTTGATGTTGCTGCCCAGTTTATTGGGGCTCACCTAGGCCTTCTTGCAGCCAAATACTACTGGAGCCTGGAGCTGACAGACATGCACATGATCAAAAACCTGATGATCAGTGAGTGCAGCACATCTCTGCTGGTTTCTGTGCTTCAGGGATCTTTTACCGAGTTTGCCTGTGCCCTCGTCTTGCACATCATCCACTTAAACCTATGCCGCCGATCTGCTCTGATCAGAGTGCCGCTGATTGCTGTCCTCCTAACATTCCTGTCCCATTCAGGTGAGCCTGGGAATAACTGGCTTTCCTAATCTTTGTATTATTTAAACGTTTTACCTTCTGCTTTTTGGGATCCATTATTTGCATTTTTTTTTTTTTACTTTGAAAGTTCAGAGGACTTAAAGCTGGAAATTTAACAAAAACTGTATTTTCCTATTCTTTTCTTCAGCCAAAGGTTATACCTCAGCTTACATGAATCCATCACTGGCATATGGACTCACCTTCCACTGTTCTGGATTTACCTTTGCAGAGTATGCAGTGGTTTACTGGCTGGGCTCTCTCACAGGTAAACTGATTAAATGTGCATGTCCTTTCAGGTCTTAAAAAATTAACACAATACATAAAATAAACATTTGATTTCTAGGTATGACTTTGGCTGTTCTCCTGTACATGGGCCATATTCCCAGAATCTTTGCCAAGAATCTGCTATACTCCCAGAAGACACGTTTCAGAGTGCCCAAGACAGACAAAGCAGAAAAGAAGAAACAGTGAAAGTTTTTTTTTCTTAAATGCAAATCTTTACTTACCAGTGCTCAGCTGTAAAGAGATGTTTTTAATTTAACAATTTATCAAAAATAAAATCTTCAAATTTTGTCCTCCGTTTCTTTTTTAATCATGACATAAGTTTTTATTTGAAAAAAAAAAAAAGAAAAAAAAAACAATTTACAAGATACATATGATTTTTTTTTTAGCAATGTTAGAGTGTTAGCATAAAAAAACAAAACAACCCCCCTTGTAATCAGAAAAGTAAAAAACAAAAAAAAAACAAAAAAACAAACTGTCAATAAAATTAAAAGAAGTAATTTCATTTAAATAACATTTAAAAAAAAAAACCTTCTCTAGTCTGTGGGTGGATGTGACACAACAAAACTATATATTAGCTTTTATTAAGAACAGTCCTTTGTATGTTAAGCAAATAGAGCAGAGCCATGGCTGCTACGTGCTGGTAGCACCTGGAGCAGAACTAAGTTTTGATGTCTGTGACCCGTCATTCTTTGTGTCTTTTGGCTGATTTTTAGCAGAAGTGATTGAATCTGTATGAAAGAAAGAAAAAACAATCAGCACAAATTTTTTGTCATAAAAGTCCCGTGCAAGAAAACATGAATTTCTTAATTACTGAATTTGGCAGCATGCTTATATAAGCCATATTGTGTTATGGTATGTTTCGTCTTAGATATAAGTTTTAAGTTTGTCACCTTTCTGCTTTTGCTGCTCCAGCTGAGCCTCAGCTCGGTCTGCCCATAAACAGTAATCTGGATTATTCAGTAAGGTCTTCCTCTGTCCACAACTGAGACATCTCATCACGGTAAAACGAGTCTTGCTGTTTTTTCCTTATTAAAGAAATTCAGTTTAAATAAATAAATAAGTACATTTTTAATATTTATTCATTATCAACCATTTCTGAAACACAGGACAGAAAGTGACAGCCTACATTAAGTAGGGACTGAAAGATAATAGGGGCTTACGTTTTTGTCTTGTTGTAGCAGTTACACCTGGGATGAGCAAAGAGCAGCACCTCTTGCACAATGTCCTCTTCACCGATGGATCTCTACATAAATTGAAACATTAAAATGTTAGTCCATCTTTAAGTACATTCTGATTTTACTACTGTCCATCAGCTCCAAGACCAGTCTCATGTAAATATATGTGAATCTACACACAGCTACACATTAACATCATAACACTTGTCCACACATTGTCAGTGTGAGACTGCTCTCATGTGTGAATACAGCAGGGTAAACGTGGCAGATGTTCCAGACAAATGCCAACTGAGCTGCTGGTCCTTATGTGTGCTTGTGTAGTTCGTACGGTATCGTATATTTAACACTATTTCAATAACTTTTTTTTTTTTTAACTGTGACATTTTCATCTCAGTAGTTCAATACTTGATCTAAAGGGAGCTCTGTGGCACGCCGAAATATCCTGCATTACTCTTTTGCTCCCCAGACAATGTGATCAACGGGATTTGTTAAAAATCAGTATTTAAGTACACGTGATTATCATCTCAACTTACTGTCTGAGAACGAGACGCTTTGCAATCGTCTTCTGTGAGAAGCAGAAGAAACGAGCCAGCTCCACATTTTCCGGATTTTGAGCTAAAACACAATGTGCAGCCTGTGGACAAAACGTAAGAAACCAGCTGAGCGACCACATTCAAAACAGAGAGCATGCTAGCATTTATGTAGCATGTGACTGTAGCTGGAAGCATCGTGACGATAATTAACTAAAACTTTCTCCAACCTGGTAAAGGTAGTTCAGTCTCTGGTAAGCTTCTTTGTCTTTCAAGTGGAGCGCCATTACACACAAAAGTCAGATAACAAATTAGCCCTAATAGTAACAGCGGATTACTTCTAACTACAGAAGTATGACCCTCTGCAAGTAGCTACAACTAATATGCTTCCGGGTTAATCCTTCAAAATAAAGGCACACAACGTGATTCACACCTCGGAAAATCAAAAACGCTAAATCATCAGATTAGGAATTAACTGTCTACAACAATTCAAAGACCCGACAAGCATCTTGTATCTTTGTAGTTTAGTTATATCAACATCAAACCATATCACAGAGAAATTATTCATTGATTCTACAACCAATTAATTGCAAGGCTTGTAATTCTTTTTCTATACTACTTTGACTTTGTGTGGCTTACGAAGTAACGGATGATCTCTTTACACATCAATCACATTCACATCCAAATCACAAAAGTAAAAACAGTTGAATTTATTTGAGTGTGCAGACAAAGTCGTTAGTTGTCCAGAAGAGAAACCGTTAACAAATTGTCTTTACCAGCCTTTGTATCCAACCAGTATCATATGGTCACGTTTTTCAAACTAGTTAAGTACACAATATACACATGGAAAAACAAGAGCATTTGTTTAGTCAACACGAACACAAAGGACAAAGTTCAACATACAATACTCATTTTTAATAACAACAGAGAAGAAAGTAGAAACCCTGTCAATCTAACATTTTAATTTACCTGTAAGGTGCGCCTCTGGTATCAGGAGACTATAAAGATACAGGGGAAGAACAGGTACAGTAGCTCTGTTGTGTGTAACAAATGTAGAACGACATAATCACAACACATGTTCATGATGATGACTCCACTGAAATCTTTCCTATAAAACCAATAAAAGAAATGTCCTTAAACAATGGGTGGATGTGGAAATAGCACAAGTGTTCACTGAATGAGACAATATGTGACAAGAAGGGGGACAAACATAAAATTCAAGTATCAAAATAACTAAGACACCAACAAGCTGAAAAGATCAATTACAAAGGTAGTAAAAATCATGGGAAGAGAGACACTGAGACAATCAACAATACATTAGGCAACATTTTGCATTTGTTTAAGGCAGTTGATTAAAAAAAACTAAGTAGAACTAGGCATCTTCTTCATTCCAAGTTAAATACAAGCCTAGCCCTAACTTATCACCAGAAGAGTTGATGTACAAAATTAACTATGCCCGACTCTGATACTACGCACTTGAGTTTGACTTGTCTTCTGACATCTGAGAATGAATAGAGTTCATATGGACAGCGGTGGGGTTGTGCTCTAGATTTTTGGTCTTCTTCACAGTGAGGTTTGTCAGGGCTTATAAGGCTGGTGCATCAAGAGTGGCACACCACTCTCAGCCTATTGTCTGGCACAAAATCTAAATAGTTGGCACATATCTGTGCACAGCATGGGAAGGCAGGATAGCTACTTTCATCAGCTAACGATTGCTCTTCATGGCCTCCTTGGCTGCCAAGATGAGAGGTGTGAGACTGGAGAGAGGTTTCGCCAGCTTCAAAAATGGATGCTGAAAAAGATGTGGATGTGAAAAGAGAATATTACTGGCCTGAAACACAAACAAAGTAAAACACTGAAGAGTTCAAAGAGTAGCCAATAACTGGAAACGTTTGTAACCTGCAGGAGCTCTTTGCCACTGCCTCTTTTCTCTACATCCATTTCCAGGCACAGGTTTAGAAAATCTCTGAAAATTGGAGACAGCTTCTCAGGATTCTGAAGCTCAGGTGTGCCATTTGTAGCAATTAGGTATAATGCCTGCCAAAGGGGAAGAGACAAACAAACAAAAACTTTAAAAGCAGAGTTTTGGGAAACAACACACTTAAAGGAAATGAATCAAGTCAAACTGGCTGAGAGGGAAATGTACTACAAAAGTTAATGCTGCACAACTTTCTATATTTGCCTGGGGATATTCCAATCCACATGAGCACATTCCACACAAGAAGTGAAGCTTGTCACTTATAAAGTAAACAGACCAAGAGCGACAAAGTCAGAAAAAGCAAAGTGTGAAATATAGGGTAATAAAGTTCATTATAGTGGTAAAAAGGAGCAGGGTGTAAAATCAGAAAACGTTAAAAATAAACAAAGACAAGTGTTTATCCTGCTTTTCTGTTGAATCATGGGAGTCTATGGCCCACAGTTATTTTCTAACTACACCAAAAGTCCGACAGACACAAATCACCGATTCAGTTTTAAGTGATTTACTGTGACCTTGTAGACACTGTACAGATGAATAAATTGGAAACATTTCATTTAAAAATGGTATATATTTCCCTACGCTGCTCTACACTATATTAAAGGTGTCTAAACTAAAATGTGTGAAAGTGTTCTGCACTCACTCGTAGTGGATTCTCATTCAGGTAGGGAGGTTCTCCTTCAACCATCTCAATGGCCATAATACCCAGTGACCAAATATCTACTTTAGGCCCATAAGCCTTTCTGGTCACCACTTCAGGAGCCATCCAGTAAGGCGTGCCTACCATGGTGCTGCGTTTGCTCTGCTCTGGAGTGATCTGGGCGCAAAAGCCAAAATCGGCTGTCGAAGACATGAAGAAGAGTGAAACAATTTACACCGGAAGGATTTAACAATGCAATATTTATCATAATTACAGCACAGGACTCACTCAGCTTGACAGAACCATCCATCCCAAGCAGCACATTGTCACTTTTGATGTCTCTGTGGATGACCTGATTTGCGTGTAGGAAATCCAATGCTTGTAAACACTGGGTGAAAAAAAGAATTGATAGAGGGAAAGATGGCATTTTTTTTATTATACCTTTTACATAAAGTGGGGGTCAGTTTGTTTTACAGGACTGCAAAATGTAACGTACCTCTCGGCAGACAGCAGCTATCTGGGCCTCATCCATGCAGGTCTCTGTAACCACATCTGTCAGCGAGCCACCAGCAAGATATTCCATCACCACAAATAACTCCTCCCCCATCAGGAAACTGGCACATAAAACAAACGCATGTGAACAATCAGACAAAAAGTACTGTAAAAAAGTTTAAAAACCTGCCAGGCTGTAGGTTTACGTTCACTCTCACCTGTCTAAAAAGTTGACAATGTTTGGGTTCTTGAGCTCCTTCATCACTAGAATCTCGTTGATGATCAGCTCCTTCTTCGGCTGCTTTTGTAAGTTGATCTGTTTAATGGCGACCTGGCAGTGTGAAAAAACATATATGACCTTTAGTTCACTCTAGGTTTAACATTCAAAAATCTTTCCTCCTAATGTAAAGTGTCACACAGTAAGTAAGAAAAACACATACGCATATGCCTTTAAGAGATAAAATGAGTTTCTAAGCAGTTTAGTGGATTTAGTGGTTGGTGCAGATGCTGGACTTTAGATACTTCTTGTTGCATAACAGATAGCTCTTGCTCAGTTTAACTTAATTCAACTTCTTCATTTTTTGTTTGCTACAATTAAAATAATAAAACTTTGTTTTTTATTGAGCTAGATTGCTTTTGATATTTGTGGCTACTATGACACAATAATTTATCATTTCTGGGGATAAATAAAGTACATCGTTCATCAGATCTACTTGTCAGGTGCATTGATGGAGACCCAACGCACTGCAGTTCTCACTTTAAAGTTGTTTGGATGGGTCTCCCTGTTATTCTGGCTACACAGCCAACTACTCACAACACTTACAAAATTCCTGGCAACCCAGATCATTACAAACTTCACTCCACAGCAACGTCTCAAATGTACCACCTGAACACCTTCACCATGTTATCTCTCTAGTAAAACTCCCTAAAAGCTCTTTCTAGCTACAACATGTTCAGTGTTCATCTGCTCACTATAAACTAAAACTGTGCACCTACGTATTACCACCCAAATAATCTTTTTAGTAACTACCAGCTGCCTCACAATCCTTTTTATAAGCAAATAATAAAAAATAAACAAAAGGTGCAGTCCAATCCTTTCAAAAATGGCTTTAGCTTGTCACTCAGCCCCGCTTGCTATGATCCATATTATTTTTCTTTTTTTTGATACCACCTAGTCCATTACTTATTTAGTCTTTACCTCCTGTCCTGTGGATACATCAATGGCTGTGAATACTGTTCCTGATGCCCTGTAAAAAGAGGAAGATTATTTATTTACTTCAACACATATTCTAAGAAACTATACACTCACAATTATTCTTCAAATGCATTTTTACTCACTAAATGTTTTACTTAAGGTCAGTAATACTGAAGAGAATTTATGTTTGTATGAGTTGAGAGGAATCACATCTTGATTAGGAATGTACTACCTGAGAAACACAAGTATTCATGTGTCACTTATAAATAACTTGTCAATCTTATAAACTAAACTTTGACATGAAACCCGATGCTGAAGATTCTCCGACCTAAAAGCTGGTTGTGAAATTTCACTTTGTTTTTGGGTGGGATGATCAGAGGTAAAAACAGAGTCAAACTGCTATACTGTTTTGTTTTTATAACACCTTCTGGAAAAAGCTTTTAAAAATCCTGCTCTGGAGAAACAAGGGATTTTAAAACATTAAACATATTAATCAACATTAATAATATGACACATCTGCTATTAATAATGAAAGTTATTAGTCTACTACTATTTTTTCTCATGGTAACATTGCTCCAGGGCCTTTTCACAACAGAAAAAAAGAACTTGTCAAACTAGAAATGGTGAAACTGTTACAGACAAGACCGCCCTCCTGGCAAAATTTGCCAGTAAATAACTTCACCAGTTTAAAACTCAGCTCCTCCTATTGTGAGTATCTACAAGAGACTGAACAATAACAATCTCTGGTGATTTAAAAATCTCATATCGCATATCAACTGATACCGTTTCTTTCAGATACAGCAAACAAACTTTCATTGTTATTTATTAGTTAATGTATCAGTCCCTGCTAAGATAATATAACAGTCCATTTTAAAAACAAACTTGTTCATACAGCTACAAGCAGATGTGAATTACTCCTTTACGTTGCTTGTGGCATTTCAAACACTTGCTCCCAAGAGGAAACTTGTAGAGCGGCCTCTGACGAATAAACTATTCAGTATCAGCACTACTAACGTGGACCAAGTGTGTTTTGCCTATCGCTTCCTCACTTTCTTATTTTGCATTTCAGTCATTCGAAATGTTATG